ATAACACCCACGGATCCGCACTGAGCCCCAATGGTGGATCATGGCCCGTTATCTCTACGATTCGATTCCATTTACATGAAAGGCCTGTGTCCCAGCAGAGGAGAGATGACAATGCTATTTTTGATGAGTAGTATTTTATAAATATGATTATAAAACATTTACTTTATTTTCAGGATTTTTTGGGGCTAAAACGTGTTATAACAGAGAAACATTTCTTCTTCAATTCCACAAAAGGATTCCCCTGTTTGCTTAAATCTGACAACAAGTTAACCCCACACTGCCTGGGTAAGACAAAAGGCAGAAGTCATCCTCGCATAGATCCTGTAGCTATAGAACGGTTAAGAGACTTTTATAGACCGTTCAATGAAAGATTTTACCAACTCTCCGGCATTAACTTTGGATGGCCTTGAACTAATGTGATCTTTGATGAAAATTTATAAAATGAAAGACTGCTACAGACTCTCGTATTAACAATCTCGATTACTGCTCTCGGGCAGTAATTACTTGAGAACACGTCATAACTTAAGCAGATATTTTTACCAAATAAACAAGAATTTGAATGAAACAAAAACTGTTAATAGTTAGAATACTCTCATTTTTCATTAAGAATATTTTTCAAAATTGCAACATTGATCATATATAATAATAAGAACAATTTTTTATATTTATCGAAAGTTTAAATATCTGTAAAAATATTTCTTTCAGCCGTTTGGGTGGAATGCCTGAATATTGATGAAAATACGCTCTGTAGCAGCGAAAAAGTAATAAGTGCTTGAAAAATTCGTCAGTCCTGTTAGGTCATGGGTTTCGGTCCCATCTCAGAGTGCCAGGGAAAAAAGAAAGAGTGGACTTTTAAACATTTTTAATTAATAATATTTTTCAGTATACCATTATTAATGAAAAATTTATCAAATATAATAATAATACTATTATTTATTATATTAGTTATTAGCAGTTCTTACTAGATTCAAATTCTCGTCTATTAGTAAAAAATACGAGGGTCAAACTGAAAGTTCTTAGAACTGGCCACTTATAAACAATATAATAAAAAAATAATTCTAAAATTTGAAAATATAACTCTTTGCCAATATTACTGAGTATATATTTCATTCATTTGTCATTTGTTTTACGATTTGGCGGCAAATTGAAAATTGTCTGTGTCACGTCATCATGAATTTAACACGAGAAAATTTTCGTGCAATGATTTTTTATGACTTTCGATGTCATTTAAGTCATCAAGAAAGTTATGATAGACTACGATTGGCCTTTCACGATGAAGCCCCATCTCGTGCGACTGTTTACAACTGGTTTAATGAGTTTAAACGTGGTCGCACTAATCTCACTGATGATTTACGTGAGGGACGGCCTTCTACGGCGACGACTGAAGATAACATCTGTGTTGTGCGGCGTATGATAGAGACTGACAAAAGAGTGACCTATCAACAGATTCGGACAAGCTTAGGCATCGGTATGAGTCAAGTGCACAAAATCCTCCACGAACATTTAGCGGTCAGGAAGCTTTGCGCCCGGTGGATACCTCATAATTTGACTGAGGCTCAAAAACTCCATCGTGTGGATTGGTGTCGTAAAATGATTGAAAGATTTAACGGAGGTGACTCAAATGCTGTGTTCGACATACTAACAGGTGACGAAAGCTGGATTTACTGTTATGATCCTAAAACCAAAAGACAATCTGCTCAGTGGGTGTTTCCTTTCGAGGAGTTGCCAACTAAAGTGAAGAGAGATCGAAGTGCGGGAAAAAAAATGGTGGCCTCGTTCTTTGGAAGGATAGGTCATTTTGCAACAATTGTGTTAGAGGATCAAAAAACAGTTTCTGCAGAATGGTACACTACCAATTGTTTGCCACTTGTCTTGGAAAAAGTTCGAGAGAAACGACCTCGCAGTAGGATCCTCCTTCACCACGACAACGCCTCGTCGCACACCGCCAAGCGAACGATCGACTATTTGGCGACATCAAACGTTGAATTACTGGGTCACCCGCCGTATAGCCCCGACCTCGCGCCTTGTGATTTTTATTTATTTCCAAAAATTAAAGAAAAACTTAAAGGAAAGCGGTTTATGAATGCTGAAGAAGCGGTGGCTGCGTATCGCGATGCCATTGAAGAGACCCCTAAGGACGAGTGGGCAAAGTGCTTTTCCCAGTGATTCCATCGCATGCAGCGGTGTATTGACGTGAATGGACAATATTTTGAAAAGATATAATAAAACTAATAACTGGCTAATGTAATCAGTTTTTGATTTTCTAAGAACTTTCAGTTTGACCCTCGTATTAGTTTAAGATATGAAATTTTCTCAAGTGAATACTTCTCTCGAGTGTAAGAGCAGATTTTTTTCAAATAAGGCTACTTCTTATAAGGACTTATATATATAAATGTCGACGACAACGATAAAAATAATCGTGCTGTGTGCGAAAACTAGTTTTCTATTTAGACCTATTTAAGATACAAGCCAAAGAATTGCACATTTATATTAATCTTTGCCTTTAAATCTAGTCTTTTTTTTTCATAAAAATACGTTCACTTGTAGTTATTTCGTGAAAGATTATAAATTATAGAAACATTTACTTCACAAATTCGCATTTAGTAGAACTTTGGATGTATAAAACAACACAAGACGAAATGTATTTTCACAGACCGCTGGCTTCGTAAGTTGGATCATTCTGATTGGTCGCGCTGCGTAGCTTACTACGTAGGTACATCGGTGAGCCAAATTAGATGTTTTAATATGTCATTTCCGCAGTTGATTTTGAGCTCTACTCTAAATGAAATAAGGTTTAAAATCAAGTGCAGTTTGGCAGTTTTGTATAATCTGATGTGCTGACTGTACCCAGCATGAAAATAAACCCATGAACGGATCTTTTGTTAAGATTTATTAATAATTCTTTATTACAAGTCTCTTGAGAATATTAATCGTCTTATAGATAGGCATTATTCAATTATTTTAAGACTTTTTGTAGTCTTGTTTTGTTTTTAGGGTTCCGTACCTAAAGGGTAAAACGGGAACATTATTACTAAGACTTCGAAAACCTGAACGTTAGATAGTTGAAATTTTCACAGAGGTAGTATTTCTATTGCCGCTTCAACAACAAATACTAAAAACCAAAATAAAATAAATATTTAAGAGGGCTTCCATACAACAAACGTGATTTTTTTTTTGTGAACAGACGGTTTTTTTTGCTGTCACCATGCTGTAACTCATGAACCGTGAGAGTTAGTCAGTTGAAATCTTCACAGACAATGTATTTCTTATGCCGTTATAACAATAAATACAAAAAAAAGACAGATAAAATATTTTTCCCGTTTACCGTACGGAACCCTTCGTAAGCGAGACCGGCTCGCATTTGGTCGGCTATTTTACTGTCGTTTTGATATATGCTATAAATCCAGTTATAGTTGCGCAGATAAATACATAGGTGCAATTTTATTTAAACACTGCTCAAAATTCGAATCATAGACTCCTAGGATTTGCACAACACTGCTAGATTTCCCCTTAAGAAATGAGCGACAGAGACAAAACATCTAATTTGGTTTCAAAATGTAATGCACATTTTATTTAATAGTAAATACACAGACGATTTACATTGACTATGTATAAAATATATTTATACATAGTCAATGTAAATCGTCTGTCTGTAAATCGTGATTTGTTTTTAATCTGGAAGGATGAATTTAAAAAAAACTGCATCACAGTTCCTATTAATTATCAAATATTCCTAACGTGTGTTCCATTAAATATCATTTATCTGTTACTTTCATAATTTATACGATTATGAAGTATATTGAATTATGTACTGTTATTTAGTTTATTATGCGACAAAATGCGTTTAGGTTATTCTAGATAAGTATAATATATATTTGTGATATAATTATATCTACGAAACAAACGAATGTTGCGGTAAAAAAGGAAATTCTCTTTGAAATCACAGCCAAATGTCTTTCTGCGATCGATTTTGATTTCTAGACTTTAAGAATTGCGGCTTAAAATTTGTTTACACAATGCACTAACTAGAACGCTGTTAGTTTTATAATAATTTTATATTTGTGACGCAAAGGTGTCGGGGTTTATTATGAAAATTATTTAATAATAATAACATATTATTATTAATTACTTTATCATTGAAATAGTGCACTTATAAAATGGTTGTGTAATATAAACGAAAGGATAGTTCGTAGATTAGACTGTACTATTTGCAAATAGAATTGTAAGATTTTTCCTTAAGCAAACACCGATAATGTATTACTTTTATGAACGTTTATTATACATAAGCTTTAAGTATTAGACAATGCGTTTAGATATAAGTTAGCTCAATTTTTATAACACCCATTTGCGTAACCGTAGAGTAGAAATTAAAGCGCTAGTTACATATAGAGCCGCCACGTGGCGCCACTGGAGGTAGTTTTCATACATTTGATTGACTTATGGTGGGGGATTAATATATTCACACCCATTACTATATACTATATTGAGTAGCTCGGTGGCGTAGAGGATAAGCTCCGCGGCCCGAGATTGTTGTTGTTAAGCAACTTTCGCAAGGGTCGGTCACGGGATGGGTGACCAAAAAATTATTATCTCGAGCTACTTCATGCTTTGGAAACCACTTTAACCCGTTGCTTTCTGCTGCATCTACAGTCGTTAACACCTACCATTCCGCAATGCGCCCGCGTGGTGGGACATGGTCCATTCTCCATATTTGATTCCATTTATAGGGAAGGCCTGTGCCCTAGCAGTGGGGACCTTATTGGACTCATGAGCCGCCGTTAGTTCTACTTGCATTTGTAGGATTGCTTTATATCTTTGTTATGCAATAGTTTATTATTTTATATAAATCCCATCCACACGGTGTGGACTATATGTAACCGCGGCTTTAGTAGTATTAAAAACTGCACTGATCCATCCTTATCACACGTGCCATGTTTTTTCTCTTAGTTATAAAGCTTAAAGCCGTTTGTTTAAAATATACAATAATAAAATTTCATATTAAAAAATAACAAGTTTTATTTTTACCTTGCAATAAATTAATCACATTAATTATTAGACGAGGTGTACACTGGCGAGTCGACTGGGTACATTTGTATGAAAGATATAGATGAAAAACCGACAATCGCGAATACGATCATTACGTCGTCTTTGTATTTTGAATGGAGACTTGCTATATCGGTACTTGACGGGAAGGGTGAAATGTCGCTGGAAATGGGAAATTTTTATTTAAATACAATGTACTCATAATTACTAGAACGACTATATGTGTACCAGAATCTTATGGCACAAAATAGATAAATATAGATTTTCATATGGCAATATAAATGGTCAACTGTTGATAACTGTCAAGCCAGGGTGTAAATTTTTTGAAAATATTATTTTATATTTTGAAAATGTTCGAAAAGCCATAGATATCTCAGGTGTGAAATATTGTTTTTTAATGTTTATAGCAAAATATGTGAAAAGAAGCTGAAGATCAACGATTTTTGATTTAAATCAGCTGGAGAAACATCAATTTTTTTTGTTAAAAAATTAGTCTTGATGCTGAATTTTTTCTAAAAAAATTATTAGAAAATGGATAATCCTCCTTATCCATCCATAAGGAACGATCCGCCTACATCTTACTCTCCTAGGAGTAGTTAGTAGTAGCTAGGTTGGCCTGAAGAGATCTCTTCTAGAGATAAGCCCACCTTTGTAACTTTATTTACTTGTTCTTTATGTAAAATTTTGAGTACAATAAAGAGTATAATAAGGAAGGCCTGGGCCCCTGGAGTTGGGATGTAAAACGGCTGATGATTAATAAAATAGTAATACTCATTTTATACTTACTTCAAACATACAATCCTGAAGTGAGGCGTGGGACAGTTCGATTTACGAAAGTTTTGAACATTTCTATTGTACACATCAAAATCCACACTGAGATTAATATCAATGCTAGTTGTATTATTTCTTTTAATAATACTTAACTTTTTCAAGACAGTTGGCATATCAGTACAATCTTCCGATTTAATGATCGATTTGATTTCTACATTATTTACTTTCATTGCTTCAGTCTGGAAGATTGCATTAGTTTCTTCAATGCTTTCTAGGAATGCTATTTTTGCTTCTACCCAATTATTAAATTCCACTGCATTATCTTTTAAAAATTCAAAAACATACTCCTCCTTCTTCGATTCTATAATGCGTATATTCATATTATCGTGGCTCAGTACTTCAGGCCTTCCAAAATCATTTGGATCAGGAAACCAACTATTGGCAGATGTTGAATCTAACACTTTATTTTCGGAAATCTGAATTTTATTAGATTCATTCGCATCTTCATTGTTATTGTTTTGTCTACTAGTTGTTGGAGAGGTAGCTGACATTTGTTTTTCAGAAAGCCTTTTTAGAATACTGAATGGATTCCGTAATTTTTTTCCAGGTTTCATCACAGGGTTATCTTCGATTACACAATCTGGTTCAGAACTCGAATCGAGTGTAACACTTTGGCGATCTAAAATTTCATTGGTTTCGTTTGTGTAAATATCGGCATTATATGACTTATTGTACGTTCTAATAAGTCCCGAGAGAGCTCTTCTGTGTCGGGGAGATGCCTTATTTTCCTTTTCTAATTGTCTTAGTCTACATGCTATTTGTCGGATTTTTTTCAGATGCAGATCACGTAAACTACTACCGTTATCAATACGTCTCCTTTTCGCCTCTTCTTCGTCATCATCATCAAGTTCTATGGTTTCTATTATTGTTTCATCGTTTATTATATCAAATTGATTTGTTAAACGAATTTTTGTTCTATACCGGATATTGTATGTATGTATTAGTCTTTGAAGTGCTTCAATATTTTGTGTTTGTGTATTACCTGTTGAAACAAGATTGTGCAATCTTTCTGCTAGTTTTTTTATTGATTCTAAGTGATGTTTCCTTGCAGTGTCTCTTTTTCTTTTACGTGTGTTCTCTTCCTTATTTTGCGAATGTAAATTGTTACTTACGTTTATTTGAGTAGGACTGGTAAAGTATCTAGGGAACATGGGAATATGAGTTCTCGGGTAGAACTGGAATCTAGGCGTATTCAAATTAGTCATGAAAGGCCTTTGAAAAAACAGGTTAAAATGAAAATAATTAAGATTCGGACGTGGTCTCCAATATTGGAATTGTCGGAAGCCCGAGTTCTGGCGAAAAGTTTGATATAGTGGTGGTACTACTATGTTTTGTGATCTATTTTGTGTAGAATTCGTTACGCGCCTAACATGATCACCGTTTACCTCATCTGATATACTGTACGTCCTTGATTCAGACCCTGGTGATGTTACATTTTTTGATGATATGTTGTCCAAATTAAGTACATAGCTCAAATTATTTAAAAATATATTTTTTGGTATAAGTTCTTCTTTAGGTACATTGACTGTCACTACACGATTTTCCAATAAGTTTGGTAAGTTATCAAAATGTGTGTGAATGTCAGTATTGTGATGTGCTTTTAATTGTCTACTTTTGAGTTTTTTCAATTTCAACTCAATGAACTTTGTTAGAGGGTTTTTATCATTTTGTATGTTGGTGTAAAATATGCATCCGCCGGTTTCATTATCATTTTGTGATGTGGATTCTGTAATTATTTTAAAAATCCTGAATTAAAACTTGAAATAATTATATCTTTACAAATATTATAAAGATTTCATTGTTTGTTTGTTTATTTCCATTGAATAGGGTCCGAGACCGTTGGGCTGAACCAATTTAAGAATTCTTACATCTATGGGAGGCTACTCGTATGCGCGTGGCATATGTTATAATTAAAAAAAAAAGCTATAAATAAAGCTACAAAAATTACAAAATTTTTGATGGAACCTGTTTTTTTTTTAATATTAAAACAATACACTCTTTTTTGTTGGCTAGCCTAATGCTCCATCATAAGATGTTTCAATTTAACATGGCATTAGATCTTATTTTATAACAGTGACATAGAAAAGTAGTAAAGAATGCCAAATTGATTTAATAATTAGAACACATTTGGTGAATTGCCTGAACAATGATGAAAATAGACTCACTAGTAGCACAGTAATAATTGCTTGGTGGATAGTGGATTCCTAGGTTGACAATTAGCAACTGGTTGCTTTGTACTGGTAAATTTTTAACCAGATTACTGATAATCTTATGCAAATTGTAAAATATGTATGATTCTCACATTTCATTATTACCAATGCAACTACATCTTATGAAAAAAATATATAACACTTACCCATTTCTTTTTCTTCTACATCAATGCTTTCAGCATCCATATGTATTTCCTGGTTATCTTTTATGTATTCAGGAACCGAATTAGATTTATCATTTGCGTCATTGACAAATGACTCATCATTACTCTTTTTATTTTCTTCATTATCACTATATTGCTTACATTTATTTTCAGTCGTATCATTTTCGACTTGCATAGGTTCACATCTCTCTTCATTTATGGAGGTTTCGGTTTCTTGAAGTTCATTATCATTACATTCTTTTTTATTAATATCTACTGCGTTTTCTGTTTCATTTTGAGTTTTATCAATAACTATTTCACAGTTTTCTTCTGTCTTATTTTTACTTTTAGCATTTTCTTTATTCAAGTTTACATGGGGAAATACTTTATAACCCAGACGACTCAAATAGCTGTAAACTTTATACTTATTAATACAGACTTCATCACGAAGTAACAAACTGTAAGCTTGTTGCAGAGATACTATGATCTCATTATATGTCAATAGAAGACAATTCTGAAAGATATTGATAATAATAATAATAATATTAGACAATATCACATACATTGCTCAGATTCCAATATGAGTAGCTAAAGCCTGTATTATGGAGTATCCAAGACGACGACGATACTACAACACCCAGATCCGAGATAATATAGAAAAGTCTTCTTTCTATATTGATCTGACCGGGAATCGAACCCGGGGTCTCAGAGATGGCGACACCTTGGATCCAGCGTGAGAACCACTTGGTTACGAATGTACTGCAATTAACTGACAATTTCTGTGCGAGTGTTTTCCACATAGTAGATATAAGGTGTCTAGGACAAAACAATGAATTCAGATATGCAGCATGAATTATAAGAATTAGGAACTTAACTTTGAAATTTGTAATATCAATAACATTGTGTAATATCATTTAATGTGATCTTATACATTTATTGAGCTAGGCCAATCTTTGAAAGTTTGTCTTGTCTAGGAGTCTATGGTAATTGGTAACTGATAACTTTTAACAAAATCCTCAGGTATGGATATCCAATCATAGGGAAAGCCTGAGCCCGAGCAGTGAGGGCATTAAAGGCTGATGATGATGATTAAAAATATCTACTTACAACTTCCATCAAAAATAATGCTTCTTCAGGTCTGAGATATAGTTTCCTGTCCTTAGTATGACCGTAGAATTGCCAGTGGCTACCAGTTAGTTGAGTTACTTCTGCTAATCTAAGTTTTTCGTGCCACACTGCATGACTAAGAACTCCTCTGTAATTATAAAAAAATATTCTTAATGAAAATCTTTGTCCCATCTCAAAGTACCAGAGACAAAGTGGATTTTTTAATCATTTTTTGTTAAGAACATTTTTCAGAATATCATTGTGAAAGCAAAATTGGTCAAATATAATAATTAGGGCATATTTTAGGTTGTTTTGGTGGATTGCCTGAACGTTGATGAAAATACGCTCTGCAGTAGTGAAAAAATATCAAGTGCTTGAAAAATTGGTCAGTTCTGTTAGGTTCTGGGTAGCTCAGTGGTTAGAGCAGTTGCCCAGATTGTAAGGGTCATGTTCGTGTCCCATCTGAGTGCCAGGGAAAACGTGGATTTTTAAGCATTTTTTACTAACGATAATAAATTATTAAGTTAATTTATGAGCTAAGTTTAACCAAGAACTTATCTTACTCTTGGTTAGTATGTTAAAAAGTAAAAATATTAATGTGCATGTCCAAGTTGTGGATACATATAAAAGTTAGATGTCTTTTATTTTTAATTTATTCAGCGAATACAACAGAAACTTTTTTAATATTCTCAGTCATTCATGAATACATTGAATACCTATTCTTAAAAAGTAATTATACAATGCAAAGCCAAAAACATTAAAAATGTACCCTAACAACATTTTTATAAGGTATATTTAAAAAAATCTGATATTGTTTAAATTGTATAATTAAAAATGTAGATTAGTAGTTCATTCATACCCTTTTCTTTACCCAGAATGCAAATTTTATTAGAATTTTGTTAAATAATAGACAGAGAAAGATCACACCCAACCAATATTGAATGTTGTTTAATCAAAACTATTTTCACACAAGTAACAATAATAAATAAAGAAATAATATATAAATATATTTCAACAGAACTAAGAAGTATATATAGAACCTTTTAAAAATAATGTCACCCAAAATACTCTTTTAACAGAATATGCACTCATTATAATGGATATCTGTTTCAGTTGTGATATCTTTAACTTTGATACCCATATTTAAGGAACTTTAGAATGAGCTGGGACTTCTTCATTCACATAAAATTGGTAGAGCTGTTTTAGTTGATGATAGTATTTATTTAATTATTTTGTTTTATGTTTCATATTTATAATTTTACCATATGCAAAGTGTCACTTACTATTTATTTATATTTTGTGCACAACTGTACTAATTGGTATAGTTTAATATTACATTTGATATTTTTTCAGGAAATTATTGTTATACAATAAAAATAGGTACTTATCTGATATTATAAATGAAATGTGTAGGTTTAATTTTAAACAGTATTATTACCTACTTATACTAATTATTTGTAAAAACACAATTTATGTTCTATTCTATTAAATTTAAGATTTTTAAGATATTATTTTAAAGAAAATTTTCAGTAAAGCATGAAGATCTATCATCTATTTTTATGTATGTTATACTGTTGTCAGTAGTTGTCCTTTTTAATAAATTAAGAATAATTTATTTAACCAGCATAAAGGCAAATTATAAAGACCATGCAGCACCATATGATAAACTAAGTTACCTTTTTTCAATTCTTTGAGCTTCAATGAGATGTTTTCTGGTTTCCACAGCAGATTGTATTTGTTTTTGCTCCAACCATGATCCGTCAGGACTAATATCTTTCAAACCTAAAATAGGTAATGTAACTTCCAGCTTTGTTATGCCTTTATTTAGTAGCTCTTCACCCCTGTAAAAATATACTTTTTATTAAGACTGTAAAGGATAAGATTTTATCAAATAGGGTAGGCAATTAATAAAATTACTTACGAGAGCATTTTTATATTATCCATGCTCATAACTTTGAAGTAAATAACCCATGTAAGACAGTTACTTACAAATTGCTACAATTAATTCCTATTTTTTATTTCACTATTACATCCGCAATAAAACAAAATTTATGAAAACATGATAAAAGCTAAAGTTCATTTCACGACTTTACTTCACTTTCAATTGTCACTGTCAAACTGACAACGTCAAATTGTAAATATTTATAGCAACGGCTTGGATAGTTTTCAGTATTTATTTTCTGTTTTCTTTACGATAATAGTGCTTTTTTTTAAGTTTTTGAGGAAGTTCTAAATTTATAATCTAGTTATTTTTATTTAGTGTGTAAAGTAAAAGTGTGCTTTTATCACATTAACTTTTTGAATCAATGTAAATCAAAAGTTTACTTTTACCAATAGCTCTAGTTTCTTTTCCGCGTCAATTCAAATTCGTAGCTGAAAAAGATGAAAATACCCTTTCTGTGAATATCAATCTGAGGGGAATTAAGAGTAGAAACAAAATTATGTTTAAATTATATGCAATAGGTTTTTAAATAAAATAAGTAATGCAATAAAATTTTGGCAATTTAAGAATTTTGCATGACCTTACATGGTATTGCACAGAAATATTTTTTTGGTATCTTCTTTATTATATCTCAACATAATATAAAATTACATTGATTATCACTGTCTCTGCGATCAGTCGATTATTAAAATAAATAAAACTTAGGTATTAAAAAAATGGGTAACTGAGTATTTTCGAGCTTGACCGTGTTGATTCAAAGCTACAGTTGTAAGAACGTCTTCATTAGTGAACGTTAATGAATATTATTAAAAAAATACTTAAAATAATATTAAGTACTTAATTTCTTTCGAGTAATTCCTTTTTCTATTGTTATATTTAAACAATAAACAAATAAATAATGTGTTGTGTTTTATGTGCTTTGTTTTTACCTATGGTTTTTAAATAAACATCCATTAGTTAATATCTTTGATTGTTAATGGCGTTTTTTATCATCTTTAAATTATTGGCACATCCTATGCCATAATTCATTTATTATTATACTTGTGTTGCGTAATTTGTGAGAATACGGTTACTGTTTTGTTAGAAAAATATTTAATAAAAAAACATAAATTATTTAATTTATAAAAGAAAGGAAATACTTATTACTAATATTTTAAAGCAATGTCCGTTCCTCTTTCCAAATTGCTGTACTCGACGGGGTCCATAACGATACTTATGTTTTTTTTATAAACATCCTAATACTACATTGTGGAATGCAATAAATAAATAAATAATAAGTTTTAAAATTGTATATTATACTAGCTTCACTCATTTAAATATAATGCGCGTATGATGTAGCTTCTCGTAGATAAAGGAATTTTCATGATCGGATCTGTATTTCCGGAGAGTACACTCTACTATCTGTGTTCCTACAAACAAACAAACAAACGAACAAAGTTAGTAAGTAAATATTCCACTTAAAAATACAAAGTATAGTCCGTTCCAGTTCATTACTTTGACTCTTAGGTTAGGCTCTGTGCTGTGGTCTGAGTTTAAAGTCGCAATCTCTATTGGACCAAAAGTTTTGAATGATCAAAAGATCAATAAAAACTTATAGTAATATGTGCCTCGCAACCTGTATTCCAGGTACTCGAGTACCCGAGTACCTGCTAGGTATTCAAGTCAGTATCAAGGAAAATTATCATTACTACCGTATCAAAGGTGGTGCAAGTTTTACATAACAAACTTGTATGCATGCAAGTTTGTGACACTGAAATTAGACAGTTTAAATTAAACTTGCTGCAAGTTGATGCAGTTGTCATGGCAGACTTGAAGCAAGCCTTCTTTCTTGATGTATCAAACTTGTTGCAAGTTAGAAACAAGTTTAAATTGCTATCTGGGAAGTTATTATAAATCGCCAGAACTCTTGTAGTAGGGGTAAGCAATAATTAACACATTTTTTTTTATATAAATCCTTATGTAGGGGTAAACTACATTAAAATGATAATTGATAATGTTTTGATAAATAACTGATAATACGATGATATAGATGATAGACGAAAGGGTTAAAAATGATAACAACCGATTCAGCCGAATGCGTAATGAGCACTGATTTTATTGTATTATTAACAAAATTACAATAGCTGACGCAATTAATATAAAATGAGTACGATGACTCGTACATCTTGCCAATATACAAAAAAAAAAGAAAAAAATAGAATAATGTATAAATAAAATGATAAATTATTGATATAAGATTAATAATTTGTATAAAATTGTATAAAAAAAAACACTTAAATCTATTACTATGTAAAACACAATAAATGACGATTATTCTTCGAATTTAATATCCTTAAATATAGTTTTTCTTATAGGTTGATTGAGAGATCCACACGATGGTTTAGCATATAACGAAAAATCATTAGTTGCATTAGGGTTGGAGGGATTGCCGACAGGGGATGTTGTATACGACCTCATTGGCTTCGGTGGAGGTCCAATTGCTCTGTCGCTAGATAGCCCTTGCCGCCTGAAATAGAAGAACAAACATATTATGAAAATTATTATTAAAACACTAATAGCTAATAGGACGTATATCATGACGTAGTGGTGTTTGTCATGATTTGATACGTCATCAAGTGTCGCTTCTTTTAGTCTTTGGATTTGATCTTTTATCTTGGTGTCATCTTCTTCATCCATCTTTGTTAATTGCGCTGATATTGATGTATTTATAAATTCATTCAAGCCAGATCGTTGTAAAATCGGTGTTGTGATATATGATTCTATTTCTATTTTATTTCTGTAATCATGATGTCCAATCAATGTGAAGGTATCGCCTTTCACTACACAGTCTTGACCTATGGTAATGATTCCACTATCACGAAGTCGTTGTGACGTCAGACTCGCCGGACACATAACGCGCACGGGACACTCCTCGCAACATGAGTAGAGCCACGCGTCGCTCGTGTGTAATTTGATCCACATGTCTGTACAATGTATTAAAGTTATTTTACAAAATGTTTGATTGCTTCCGTTTGTTATTATTTTTATATCGCAAATAGATTGATCCACTTTTAGTTCATAAATGGGAGCATTCAGGCCACACAAAAATCTGTCTTGATGAAATCTGATGCACGAGAGTAAGTCTGTCTGCGACATTGGGATAAAAGTGTCCTTTCTCATATTAAAGGCTATATATTCGGAGATAGGTATAGCGTATACTGTAACTTGACCTGTTCTTTGCGGTAAACTTATCACACGATTTATTTCGTAGTTTTCACTCGTAGTTAGAGGTATTTTTATTTCCATAATAAGATAATTTTGCTTGATTTTCGCTTTGACTTGTAGAATTTCATAGAGATATTTGATATTTTCCGGTTTGACTGGCAAAGCTAAGTCTCTGTTTAGCTCTCCAGAAATGATATTCAATTGTTCTTTCAGCTGATCAGGTGATATTATGTGTAAATCGATGCGTCCTTGATATATATCGGTAACAGTATTTATAATACTTTCTTGAATTCGTCTTATATTTGATATTAATATATTCAGTGAAAGGCCGTTTGATAATATGTGAAGGGATCGTCTGATAATATTCGTATCCTGTGTTAAATTATGAAATTGTTGATTTATATGTCCAAATTGATTATCCATGTGTTGGGCGTGTCTACGTAAAATATTGTTTTGCGCTTCAACGATCGAGGTTTGATTTTTCAATAACTTTAATAAATGATCTTCGTTATTTTGAATCCTTTCTATGTCTTGATGGTACTGATCGGCAAACTTATCATCCAAAACTCCGAACAATACGTTGGCGACGTTGCCGATAGCATTCACTAACCCTCTTTTTGTTCTTTTGTAGGGAGTGGAAAGTATTAAATGATTGTAATGATTTATTTCGTTTATGTCATGTTTATACTGCGCTATTAAACTGGAACACATACTGTTTTCATCACAGTAATTATTAAGATTGTTTATGTAAGAATCTAGGCTTTCGATACTTTGCCAATAGGTTGTCATGTTATAATAAACGATTGTTGTCCATTTATCTTTGATGATATTCATCTCGGAAGTTTTGTCGAAGTATAAAGAATTGGAATTATTTATTCGTGTTACATTTAATGTTTGTTGAATGCTCGTCGGAATGATAGAGAGTAAAAGCAATAATGACATGATTATAAAATTATTTTGAAATATTTTTCTTGGCCTCGACTGCTTAGTTCTTTTCTGTGTATACTGCAGATTATTGTTACTTGTTGATACGTCGTTTTTATTTTGTTCTTGTTGTTCATTTACTGGTAATAAAATATGTTTATTGATAGGCCTCTTAATTATATTATTTTGGGTTTTTAAAGTTACTACCCTGACGTGTCCGTCCTTCCCGGGGTGCAACTCACACACACGCGCCAGTGCCCATTTGCCGGGTGGCATGTTTTCCTCTTTGATGATAACAACGTCATCCAATCTGATATTCTCTTTCGGAGTCCTCCATTTTGATCTTGATTGCATTTGTTGTAAGTATTCACTAGACCATTTCTTCCAAATTTGTTTATTCAAATTTTGTACAAGCTGCCAGCGAGTTGATAAGTGAGTGATATCTGCATCAGTCTGTGGCCTTGATATTAATGGTTCACCGATTAAGAAGTGACCAGGAGTGAGGCAGACGTCATCGGGGTCTTCGGTGAGGGCGCAGAGAGGGCGGGAGTTCATGCAGGCTTCAACTTGTTGCAATAGAGTTGTCAACTCTTCAAAGGTAAGTTTCTGCTCTCCTATTACTCTTTTCAAATGGTATTTTACACTTTTCACAGCACTCTCCCACAAACCTCCTGCTGACGGCCACGCTGGTGCGTTGAAATGCCAGTTGACCTCCATATTATTTGTGTTCAAAACCTCGGAATCGATAGAATTCAAAATTTCTTTATATTCTCTTTGCAGGATGCGGGATGCGCCGACAAAGTTGGTACCATTATCACTGAATACGTGCTTCGGTGTCCCACGGCGAGCGCATAATCTTCGAAATGCAGCAAGGAATGCATCCGTACTTAAATCTGAAACTACTTCCAGGTGCACTGCCTTTGTGGCGAGACAGACAAAAACAGCCACATAGCCTTTTAAAGTACGAACGCCTCTACCCTTATTTAATTTAATATCCATATGTCCCGTGAAATCCACCCCCGTGTTATTAAATGGACG